TCCGAAGGCCTTTTGATCTGTTTCTGTTTCACAACCACAAACCCACAAATTCAACTGAGAAGAAACAGAGGGAAGAAAACCAAAATGCAAATGTTACTGAAGCTAACTTTTTCTTTCAAAAGTGATTTATAGTTAACATTTATTGAGCAATCAACTCTCTCCCTCTTTCTCTCCCTTCCTTTCTCTCCTCCTTTTCTCTCTAAATGAAAAAACGAACAAACCACCCACTGTAAAAAAACCAACATGTCAGAGGTGGCATAACAAATTAGGGGAATGATAAACCAGCCAATGAATACAAATGGTATTGTTACAGTTGGTTACTTATAAAACTTTAGAGGCATTCCCATTAAAAACAGAAACTAAAGTCTGGCCTGTGTGCTCAGTGGTTGAGCATCAACCCAGGAACCAAAAGGTTACTGGTTCGACTCCTGGTTGGAGCACATGCCTGGGTTTTGGGCTCCATCCCCAGTGAGGGGTGTACAGGATACAGCCAATTGATGTTGCTCTTATTGATGTTTCTAGATCTCTCTCTCACTTCCTCTCTCTCTAAAAATTAATAAAAACATTAAAAAAGTAATAAAGATGTTGAAAAGCAAAGCTAACATTTAAAGAAAAGAAACTAAAGTCTGAAGGATGAAGTTTATGGTATGTGAATTATGTCTCATAAACCTGTTAAAAGTTAATCATTGCTTTTACTGAACACAGTTCTAACATAAAACCAATACAATAAAAGAGGAAAAGTAAGAGAGAAGCATAAAAATCAGAAAGGGAGACTAAATGTGCTTATATGCAGACAGTGATAGTCTACATAGAAAAATCCAAAAGATCCGAAACCGGTTTGGCTCAGTGGACAGAGCGTCGGCCTGCGGACTGAAGGGTCCCAGGTTCGATTCCGGTCAAGGGCATGTACCTTGGTTGCGGGCACATCCCCAGTTGGAGATGTGCAGGAGGCAGCTGATCGATGTTTCTCTCTCATCGATGTTTCTAACTATCTCTCTCCCTTCCTCTCTGTAAAAAATCAATAAAATATATTAAAAAAAGAAAAATCCAAAAGAATCTATAAAAATTAGAACAAAATTCAGCATGGTTGCAGGGTACCAGATCAGTTAAACAAACACTGATGATGTTTCTACATACCAGATGTAACCAATTGGGAAAAATAATAAAGATCTCATTTTTTAAAATATATTTTTATTGATTTCAGAGAGGAAGGAAGAGGGGGAGAGAGAGAGAGAGAGAGAGAGAGAGAGAGAGAGAGAGAGAGAGAGAGAGAAACATCAATGATGAAAGAGAATCATCCATCAGCTGCCTCTTGCACACTCCCCATGGGATCGAGCCCACAACCAGGGCATGTGCCCTTGACTGGAATCGAACCCTTCAGTCCGCAGGCCAATGCTCTATCCACTGAGCCAAACCGGCTAGGGCTCATTTTGTTTTTTTAAAATTGATTTTAGAGACAGAGAAACATCAATTTGTTGTTCCACTTATTTACACATTCATTGGTTAATTCTTGAATGTGCCCTGATGGGATTGAACCTGAGACTTTGGCATATCAGGATGATACTCCAACCAACTGAGCTACCAGTCCAGGGCCATAGGTCTCATTCTTAATAGGAGAAAAATCTATAAGCATGTAGGAATATATTTAATATAAGATATGCAAGACCTTCATGGAGAAAATAAGACATTGTTTAAGGACATAAAAGAAGACCTAAATGAAAGGATATACTAATATACTACGTTCAAGGATGAGAACAACCAATATTGTAAAGAGGCATATTGCCCCCAGATTAATCTGAGTTTAATGCAAGAATCTGACAATTGATGCTAAAATCCATCTAGAAGAGCAAATGGCTAAGAATAACCAAAAAATGTTAAGGCTAGCTAGGGAGACATGTATTTGCAGTAATTAAGACTGTGCCATATGGCATAAGAGAGAAATAAACCAGAGAACAAGACAGAAACAGACACATGTTTAAAATATAATAGTGGTGGCATGAAAATCAAAGGGAAATGAACTAGTTAATCCATGATTTGATTCTACAATCAGTTATATATATGAAAAAATATATATGCCTAAAATAAATTCAAGGTGAATTAAAGATGTAAATGAAGAAAAGCAAAACTTAAAAAAAAAAAATCTAGAAAGGCATGCCCTCCTGGGGCAAGCCTACTCAAATCTCCTTTTTTTTTTTTTTTTAATTGTTTTATTGCTTAAAGTATTACAAAGTCAAATCACCTTTTTGAATGACTTTTCTTTCTCCTAAACTCTAAGGTTCTCATGAGACTTGCAACCAGGGAGCAATGGCAGTGGCAGCTGGACTGAGGCTAACCGCCTGAACCTGTCTGCACGGCTCCCTCTACTCTGCCTCTCTAGTGAACTGACAGAGCCCTGTCTTGGCTCATTTCTTTCCCATAATGTTTCTAGAGAGCCCACCTAGGCTCTCTCCTGTTGCTTCTTCTATCCTAAGCTCTTCCTTGTTTCACTGTCCCCAGCTTTAATAAACAAACTCTCAAAATAAAATTTTAAAAAATTAGACTATCTGTGACCTTGGAGTAGGAGAGATTTCTTAGACAAGATACAAAAATATAGAAGATCAAGGAAAAGATTAAGTACATTAAAAATCTTTAACTTTTGAACATAAAAAAGGTACTATAAACAAAATTAATGGAAACCACAGATTGGGTAAAAATGTAACAGATATTAACCAAAAAAGAATTAATATCCAGAATAAATAAAGAACTCTTCCAATTAATAAGACAACCCAAGAGAACAATGGGCAAAAGATAACACAAAAATCTTCACTCAAGGCCACTGTATGTGCTGTACATTGCACCAACTCTACAGTGTGCCTTTCACAAACACTACAACATGAACTGTGCCCCCTAGAGTTGTGCAGTGCACAAACTCTACACTAAAAGATACAACTTACACTATACAGTTGGTGGCCCTGTGTAAATGCAAAGGAAAATAAACTAGGGGATATCATTTCACACTCATCAAATTGGCCAAATTAAAAGTTTCGACATCTAAAATGTCAGGGAGTATGTGAAGCATCTGGAATTCTCAACTGCTGCTGTGAGGGTAAACCAGTACCATCACACTGGAGAGCAGTTTGTCAATATCCAGGGAAGTTGAGATCCAGAAAACCCATGTCCTAATTACATCCCTACCCATGTATAAGAGTGATCACTGCAGCTTTGTTCGAATGAGCAAAAAATTGGAAACCAACTGTCCATTAATAGGAGAATGTCCATTAACAGGAGAATGGAGACTTAGTATGCAGCATAGTCATACAAAGGAATACGATACAGTAGTTAAGATGAATGTCCTTACGCTACATATGTCAACATAAATGAAAAAAGCAAGATGCAGAAATATATTCGGCATTTCATTTCTATAAAGTTTAACGCCATCCAAAACAATTATATGTATTGCTTACAGATGCAAATTTATGTAATAGAACTATAAACCGTGCAATTCAGGATGAAGGTTACCTAATGGAGGGGAGGGAATAGTAGCATGGAGGGGTAAATGTGGGATTTTAAATACAACTACTCATGTTTTACTTCTTTGGAAAGTAAAAACCTGAAGCAAATATAGCAAAATGTTTACTGTTAATTGCGTGGTGGGTGTTAAGTTTTTCTATTGTGTCTGAAATATTTCATAACTTTTTATTTTTAAGTTACACAGTGAGAACAGAGATTGGTCCTTCTCAAAAGAGCACACAGTACCTCCATTTCTCATTTCCCTTCTACTGCTCAGCCAAGGAGGCTAGCTTCCACTTCTCTGACCCTGCATTTGCTGAGGTTACAAAAAATAACCTTGTCTGCCAATAGGGGAGCAGGGGATGATAAGGTTCTTTGTTCTTACCTTCCTTGATTCTCTTTCTTTTAATATATTCTATACTTTACTCCCTCCTTACAGCTCTAAGATAGCTTTCTCCTGGTTTTCCCTGGGCCTCTGGTCACATGCTTTCCTCTGCTTCTCCACCTGCTCCTGAACTCTGTTCCTTAGGGTTCAATCCAGAGTCCCCATTTCATTCTATACACATTCTCTCTAGATGATTTTACTCAAATCCATGTCCCCAAAGACTTCCTATAAATAGAGACTCCAAAATATCTCCAGCCCATCTCTCTCCTGAGCCCCAAACCGAGTCCCTCCAAATGCCCACTCTAGGTCCTTATCCCATGATATCACAGAAATCCTAAACTTGGAAACAGCTTTGTCCCCTGCCTGCATCTCCTGCCCTGCAAGACCATTTCCTCTTCCTCTGCCCCCTTTTTTGATAGATGGCACCACATTCCATCCTGTCACCCATACAGTAACCTGGGAGCCATCCTCTATGTATACTCCCTCATCCCCTACTGCAATCAGTCATCAGCCTCACCAGCCTCTGTGTGTTTCTCAAGTCAGTCCCCTCCCTATGGCTCCTAAAACCATTATTGTCTGGGTGGGCCTCGTCATTTCTAATTACTATGGTAATCCCCCAACTATGGTCTCCCTGCCATCATCCCCACCTCTGCCAATCCATCCTCTTTGCTACAAAAGAGACCAATCTTTTTTTTCTTTTTAAATATATATTTTATTGATTTCTTACAGAGAGGAAGGGAGAGGGATAGTTAGAAACATCGATGACAGAGAAACATCGATCAGCTGCCTCTTGCACACCCTCTACTGGGGATGTGCCTGCAACCAAGGTACATGCCCTTGACTGGAATCGAACCTGGGACCCTTGAGTCCGCAGGCTGATACTCTATCCACTGAGCCAAACGGGTTAGGGCGAGACCAATCTTTTTATTTTTATTATTTATTTTTTTAAAAATATATTTTATTGATTTTTTTACAGGGAGGAAGGGAGAGAGATAGAGAGTTAGAAACATCTATGAGAGAGAAACATCAGCTGCCTCCTGCACATCTCCTACTGGGGATGTGCCCGCAACCCAGGTACATGCCCTTGACTGGAATCGAACCTGGGACCCTTCAGTCTGCAGGCCGACGCTCTATCCACTGAGCCAAACCGGTTTCGGCAAGAGACCAATCTTTTAAAAATGCAAATTCCATCCCAACACCTTTTCTTAAAAAAAAAAATTAAAATAAATAAATAAATAAATAAAAATTCCTGAAATGCTGAGTCAGGACTAGAACATTCCCTTTCACAGGGTATATAAAGTCCTCCCCAACATGCCCCAAGGATCTCTCCAGCCCCTTCCATACTTGCCAGCCCAGCCATGGTGTGCTTTCAACTCTGACCTTTGCATATGGTGATTCTCTACCTCAGATATCCTCAAAACTGTCTCCATATGTACCACCATTTCCCTTCACTTGCCTAATCCTTCCCCTTCACCTCTTTGCTCAAGTATATCTGGGCTGCTTCCTCTCCCAGGTTGGGCATCGACCTCAGATGACATTGTACTGTCCCACTGCAAAGGCTGTGACCTCTTTCCTATTGGTTAATGAACAACAAGAGAACTATCCCCTATCCTTGTACCTCAGGTGCGTAGTGCCTTGCCTGGCATGTTGATGGCGTTCTGATGACATGACTGGTCCACCTGGAGCTGAGAGCTTACTTAACAAGTGCTAGTGCAATCTTAATTCTGCAAACAGTGGCTGAAACACACAGCGCCACCTGGAGGGCATGAGTCAGGTTTGTGCACCAGGGCACCAATCCCAAAGGTGGTCAGAGGATCTCCTTCAAGGAGAATTTGGAAGAAGGTAATATAGCTATGTTCTTATTCTTAAAAGACTCTTTAATTAGACTGAATGGTAGAACGCTTTAAAAAGCACAACTGGTTCCCCTTTTCATCTTTTATTTCCTTAGGGAGAAAAAAAGATCCTGGTGGTTGACATGTGGGAGGCAGAGCCATGAGTTCCACAGGAGGATCTATATATAGCTCTGTGATCAACAGCTTTGCTCCTTGCCTCCTCAGCAGCTGGAGACAGGCTGTTGCTTCCAGATGTGGGATGGAGAAGGTGCATGCAGGCAAACTTACACATGCCTGGTGTGCAGCAAGAGGCTCCACAAACATTTGCCCAAAATGCTTCTCCTGAAGACAATCTCATGTTTATTAGCATAAGCTCTGGAAATTGGGACTAGCAAATTGAAGAGTCACTTATGTGCTGAGTGACAGACCAAGGTTGGTTTTTCCTATGTGCCAGGCACTGTACACATGGTGGGCAGCCCTTGTGCATGATCTCATCTCATCCCCACAGCCCTATTGCCAGGGGGTAGTGCTGCTCTCATTTCAAAGGTGAGCACACTGACACTCTGATAATATAGTTACCTCCTAGGATCACACAACCAATTTACATCCTAGAGTACAATTCAAACTCAGGGCTACAGCCAAAAGCCCCTGAGGCCTTGTTTCTCTGGCTGCCTGCTGGTTTCTCAGCCCAGCGGGTCCTGCTGTGCTAGGATAGAAGTGCATTCACAATGGCACTGGATAAGTGAGGAACAAAAGTGCAACCTAAAAATATCAGCTGAAAAGGAACTCACGGGAGGTCAGGACAGTTCACAAGTGGCAGCAATAAAAAAGGAAGTTGATGAAATCTTGGAGTGGCTGGTAGAATATACATCAAGAAGAGCTCTTCTTTCTCTTAAAAGAATCTAATTCAGCAAAAATGGGCAAACTAGATTATCTGCATTTATTGTTGGGCAAAGCTTGGGTTGCCCGTAGTATAATTCCTCAGAGATTTCCTGAGATTTTGCACATAAAGGTCCTGTTGTTGAACTGAAGAAAGATGCTGGGAATGGGCTGTTGTCAGGTTGGTTTCACCACCAAGGGGCCCACCGTGCCTCTCCCCGGGGAGACGTTGCGGGTTTCAATGCGCTTTTCTTTCTCTTGGCTGCCTGAGCATACAGCCATCACTGTTTCCATTGTGAGCTCTTCTCCTCTGGAGCCAAGCCCAAATTCAGGGAACATGTGCTCAAGACACATTTGGCAGCCTGGCTCCCCACTTGCAGTGACTTTCTGCCTTTGCCTTTTCCCCATCAAGACACTTTCCTGCATTTGGAGGTTGAAAAGCAATGCTGAACACGTTTAGTTCTAAAAGCTGGTTCTGAATCCTGCTGGCTCACTGGGATGAGACACAAAAAGTCCACACCAAATACAGAACCCAGGTTACTGAACTCAGATGAGAATTATTTCCATCCCTTCCTTGTTACAGACATTACTGAGGCCATATGTTTCTCAAAGCATCAATGGGCTGTTTCCTGAAGAAAATTTCTCTTGTATTATTTACCCCATTAAGAATTTTTATGAGAAATTCCACCTTACCGTTGAACAAAACTGAGCATCCTACTAACTGGGACCTTATTTTGTAGAACAGCTCACAGGTTAGAAATCAGAGATTGAACACTTTCCCTACATCTACACAGGCAGTGGCAAGAGTTGGTATGAGAACATAATTACTTGAATATCCAGTCCTATAAGGACTAGTTTATTTTTAAAATTTTTACATTGAAGTCAAATTACATACAATAAGCACAGATCTTGTTAAGTGTAGAGCTAAATAAAGTTTGAAATTTTTTACACTCATATAGTCAGCACTCTAATCAAAACAAAATGTTTCCATCATCCTAGAAAGTTCCCTTGGGTCTTTTCCCACTCAACCCCAATCTCCCATCTTCCCCCAGCAGGCAACAACCGCTATTCTGATTTCTATGATTAGTTTGAGGCCCCACTTTTAAGAAGTGGAAATTGAATGTATGCAACTTTGCCTGCTTCCCTGAAGTGTCTGCAGAATTTTGCTCTCCCCTTTGGACCACAAGTACTACTTAAGCTTTGTTTTAGATCCATCTGAAAAGCCTTTCAGCAAGTCAGTCTTTGTCCCAGTACAGACACATTTAGATTTAAAGGAATTTACATTTATAGGTTATGAAGGTCAATTATGATTCCTCAACATGCGGTATAAAAAGAACTCGTCTTTCTGGAACATACAGTTGCTTTCTCCCAAAACATCTGCCTTCTTGCCTCTTTCTGTATCCAACCACTCCTCAGGATAGCAGCCTTTGTTTCTGTGGAAAGGATTGCTTGAGCCTTTGAAAGTGAGCACATATGCACCCTATCTTTCTACTTGGAGGCCATTTCCTGGTGCCAGTAACCGTCCTGCTGCAGTGGGACTCTGAACAGGTCATCTGACTTCCCCAGACATCATCCCAGAACAGTGGTAGCTGAAAATGTAATAGCCAGCAAGGGAACTTAGAAACTGGAAACTGGGTTTTAGAAACTGGAAAACTTTGAGTAAGTCTTGCTCAGAACATTGTCTTAAAGCCAAAGAATGTTGCCAAGGTCCAGGTGGAGGCAGCTTTCCGCCAGCCACAGACACGATGAAAGCAGACGGTGCCTGCTTCTCTTCCCCCCTGAGCGCTGGCGGCCAGGCTGGGTCATTTTCTCCACAGCGGATTCATCTCCCCAGACAGTGAGCTCATGCTTGGCACTGGCAAACTCCATGAAAAAAAGGCACTTAACCCCGCGGTTTGAGGCAGAAATGACTTCATGGAATATATACCCAAAATTAAATCAAGCTAAGTTTTTTTTTTTTTTTAATATTCTAAAGAAAAAGAAAATGATGCACACACAGTCATAACATTAGAACCCACTTGTGAACATAGAACACCAAAGTGTAAATTCTCCTGAAATAGTCAAATTCCAGAAGTCATTTTGTTAGGAAAGATATAATTCTGTGGAATTATAAACAGAGCTGCCGAAAGCATGTGGTGAGTCCCTCTTTCCTATACAATATCACTGAATATTTTCTGGTGTTCCTACAGTTTAAATAAAGAAACTTTTTTCCATTTTTTTTTAATTTCTAAAAGTGTATTTTTAAAATAGGTACTATATTAATATGGTTCAATTTTTTTTTTTTTAAATAACAAAATATAAAGGGTCTTCAGTGACAAGTGTCCCTCCCACTCTTGGGCCCCAGCCACTCCCTCTCCTTCCCCATAGCCTGTGTTAGTGGTTTCTTGTGTATCTGTCTATTCAGAGATAGTTTAGCATATACAAACAAAACAGATGTATAACTTCCATCGTTCTTTATAAAAAAATATATTTTTATTGATTTCAGAGAGAAAGGGAGAGGGAGAGATAGAAACATTAATGATGAGAGAGAACCATTGATTGGCTGCCTCCTGCACGTTCCCCACTAGGGATGGAGCCTGCAATCTGGGCATGTGCCCTTGACCGGAACCGAACTTGGGACCCTTCAGTCCACAGGCTGACACCCTATCCACTGAGCCAAATCACCTAGGGCTCATCGTGTTTTTATATATATACACACAAATGATGTTATATTGCTGTCTTGCATTTTGCTTTATTTTTTGCACTCATACTTAGAAACAAAATTTTGAAGACATATTTAAGTAAAGCAAAATTATATGTTCATTTACCCTTTGATTCAGCAAATCCCACTTCTAAATTTATTGGTAAGAATACAAAATATTTTATGTAGCTTATTCCAGATGAGTCTTAGTATCTGTAGGGACAGGCTAGCCCTGGGAGGAGCAGTTTCTCTGGGATCAGCTAGGCCTACTCAAAACAATAGGAATTTATCTCACATAATTGAAGTCCACCGTGGGCACTAGCTTCAGGCATCCAAACAAGGTCACCAGAGCTTTGATTTTCTTGGATGTTTCATTCTTTGCTGCCTTAATTCTCAAGCTGGCTGTCTTTGTGTGAAGAGCAAGTTCCAAGATTCTGTGGCCCTTACAGCTCCTGATACAAAAGGAGAGAGAATCTTTCCTGATAGCTCTGGCAATAGTTCCAGGACTGTTCAGGGCTAGCTCACATTCCTGGAGCCAGGAATAAGGTTTGCTTCAACCAAGTCTCATGGTTGCATAGAGTTTCCCACTGAGCAGGAAAGGGTGGCTCTCCGAAGGAAGAAAGGCTGGGTATACGAAATATACGTCCACTATGCGAGGCAAAGTTCTAGAACTTGCAGAGATTAAAACATCATCTCAGCACAATACATTTGCTGAATTAATGTAGGAATACAAAGCGGAGCATCACTTTTAAAGTATCATAGTATTTCAAATTCTTAGTCCATATTTTAGAGAAGCAATAAAAAACAAGTCAGGACAGATAGATACGAAGGTCATTAGCGAGATTCCATTTTAGCAGACAGTTGCTTCAGTCAAGTATAGATTGTTCCATGTTCTGGAGTTCCATCCCTCTTGCACAGAAGAGATATGTGGCTCTGGTAGAAGGCAGACTTTTGTCCTCATTCAGCCTCAAGAAAAGCTAAGGCTTATCCAGCACAAAGGGAAAAATATGGTCTAGCATGAAGGGCTGGAAAATACCTTGCTACCAGTAAGCTCTTTGCAGACTTTCTCTTCTTATTTAAACTGGTGGTAATCCGGGGGGTTTCTGATCCAGGACCCAAATGCCTGCTTCCGGAGTGCGCTCCAGGCTTCCTGGTAAGCAGATGCAGCCTCCTTGTACTCCTGGTATGTTTCTAGCTTCCGCACCCTAATGCACACATAACCACCAAGCACACAGGTTTTCATTGAACAGCTCACCACTATGGCCAACAGGACACCTGAGTAATCAACTGTTCAGATTTACTACAAGAGACTTAGGAACAGGATAATCTTAGTATGCTTTCCTAGAGAGACTCTGGCTCCTTTGTAAGAAACCCACTACAAAGTAACATGGATTAAAACAGGCAAGAATGAGACCTTGTTCATGTGGCTCAGCTGCTTGGAGCATTGTCCCATACACCAAAAGGTGTTGAGGGCACAAACCCAGGTTGCAAATTCAATCCCTGGACCTTGTCGGGGCATATGCAGGAGGCAACTAATCGGTGTTTCTTTCTTTCTCTCTCTCCCCTTCCTCTCTCCAAAATCAATTTTTTAAACCCCCCCCCCCAAAAAAAACCCCACCCAGCCCAGCTAGTGTGGCTCCGTGGTTGACCACTGACCTTTGAACCAGGAGGTCACAGTTCGATCCCTGGTCAGGCATATACCTAGATTGTGGGCTCATCCCTGGTGTGGGGCGTGCAGGAGGCAATCAATGATTCTCTCTCATCATTGATGTTTCTCTCTCTCTCTCCCTCTTCCTCTTTGAAATCAATAAAAAAAAATTAAAAAACAAAACAAAACAGGCAAGACTAAACAGAATGCTAGCTTTGTCTGGTCCTGGTAAAATCAGATAAAAGAAGAATAACTATTATATTTTTGGTTTAAAGTTTCCTAAGTGTCTGTAATTTCCACCAGAGCATACAGCCATTAGAAACCTCTTGGCTATATTTTCCCTAACAAAGCAAAGCACTTTCCATTCTACCCATACTCTCCTATACCAGCCAACAACATCCCTCCCAATCTCTCAGTTATCTCTGCCTGCTAAAAAATGGCCATGCTGAGTAATATTCGTAATACTTATATCCTGTTAAGAGATTTTCTTGTGACAGACTCTTCTCTCCTTTGACCAAATCTGAGTCAGGCTCCTCTGAGCCCTTTTCTCAGCTTGGACCTTGAGCTCTGTCCTTGCATCTTATAGTTGAAGAAACTGATACTCGTGTCTTATTGATCCAATCTGCCCCGCTTCTAAGTTGTATCTTAGCTCACTTCAGCAGGCAAAGTTTCCAACTGCAGCAAAAATTGATTTCAGTTGTTCGATCAATTTCCTACAGCTTTTTGTTGGTTAAAGGGTGGGATCTACACACATGACAGTTAAACTTCACCCAAGCTCCGAGTTTCTAAAACAGCGATGGTTAAGAAATCTCCCTCCATCCTTCCGTGTCCTGGGAAATGGCTGATCGCAAAGAACTGCCTTTTCCCATGACTTAGCTAAGACTCATGGATGCCCCCCTGGGTTACCTATGACACAGACCCATCAAATTCCCACTCTTTGCCTCATAATGATTAGCTGAAACCACTGACCAATCTTGACAAAATACCTGGTAACTTGACCAAATATTACTTACATTTCTCTCCTTAGCCCAGGCCCCAGAACTTTGATCCAACCTCAACCTGAGCCAGCACCAGAATGTATAACCACTCCTTAACAGCCCCTCCTGGGAACTGACTGACAGCAAGAGAAGACATTTCCTGTTCAACTGTCCCATCACACCACCTGCTCATCCCACTCCCCCATTCCAGGTTCTGTTTAGTCTTGCATACCCCTCCATATAAAAGAAACCCTCTTTCCATCTGCCCTTTGAGAGGCTTACAGAGCTTATGACTGGAGTGTTCTTGCCACTGCATTAGACCTCCTACTGTAACAGACCCCTTCTCTTACACAATAATCCTTCTGAGTAAAGTCTCTCCTTACCTAAGTCCAGATTTGTTTTTAACACAAGAATGTATGGAAACACACCCAGTTCCAGCTTGATTCATTTTTCCAGACAAGAAACAAAAAAACCTGACCACCAAAGACTGAAGGGCATCAATACTGACCACAGTATGGATGATGGTGATAATGGTGGCTAGTCTCTTCATATAGAAGTTTCTGGCTACTCTGCTGCTTCCCTACTGTTATATAATAAAGATTTTGGCTGGTCTTTGTTGCCAGTTCCTAAATGGGAACCTCTAAATCCTTAGAATTTCCCCAGTGATAGGGCTGTTTTTGTTATTCATGGTGAACCCTGAGATCACACCTAAGTTTATGTTTAACAAGGTAACTCATGGTGGGCCCTAGAGTTTCAGAATGGGGCTGGCCATACCAGAAAGACCAACCAGGAGATGAGAGAATTGGAGTACTGAGACACCTGATACCACTATAGCCTCCTAGGGTGGGAGGAGACGAAGACTGAGTTCAATCATATCATGTGAACTATGAGTCAATCAACCATTCTTATTAATAAAAACCCAATAACTCTGGACCCTGAAGCGCAGGTCAGCTTCTTGGTTGGTGCTGAAAGGGTGATGCATCCTTGGGACGTGCAAACATCAAGTTTGGGACTCTCCCAGACCTCGCCCTATGTGTCCCTTCTTTTAGCTGGTTTTAACTCATATCTCCTCCCCCCCAGCCCCCGCAATATATTTTTATTGATTTCAGAGAGGAAGGGAGAGGGAGAGAGAGAGAGAAACATCAATGATGTGAGAGAATCACTGATCAGTTGCCTCCCAACCCAGGCATGTGCCCTGACCAGAATGGAATCTGGGACCCTTCAGGCCGCAGGCAATGCTCTATCCACTGAGCCAAACCAGCTAGGGCCTAACTGGTATTTTTTAAAAGGTAAAAGGTAATTGTAACTACGGTGCTTTCCTATCAGTTGTTCTGGTGAATTATTGAACATGAGTGGCAACCCCCCGGGTTTGTAGTCAGTGGGTCAGAAGTATGAGTGCCTTGGGGCCCCTGAGCTTGTGGCTAGCATCTGAGGTGAGGGCACTTTGTGAGGGCAGTGCCCTTATTCTGTGAAGTTTTGCCTAACTCTAGGTAGTCATTGTCTGATAACTGAAAACGTTTGTACCACAAACCACCCATCCTCCATACCTCAGATCATACACGGATCTACAAGCAGGGCCATGGGGACGGGATGGAAGAGCATGTGGTCAGCAATGAGCACCCACTGGCCTATGGAAACACCACTCCTGCTAAAGCTTCCTGCTACGCATGAGCCAGAGCAAAACCAGAAGTCTTCCTAACTATGAAAAAACATGGGTCAATAGTGTTACCTGAGGGAGTCCGGCCACTTGTCCTCTGAAATACTGCTCAGCAGCTCCTGGAATGATCTAAAGAGTTCCACTTTGCTGATTCGAGATCTGTTTGGAAAAAGACAAAAAGGACTCATTAAGTGTTTGCTACGTATCAGATCCCTATCAAAGATGCGAGGCTTCACATGGTATTTAGGTTTGCATGTGCCAGAGCCCCATTTCACCTGTACTGGCAGGAGAAAATCTAGACCTGAGGCTTTGATTAGGTCGAGGCACAAAAATGAATCTCATCTTTAGAAAAGTCACCATCAGTGAAATCATCAAGGGACAGGTTCAAATGGGGTAAAGGCAGAGGTGAAATTACCAAATTCCCCCCAGAACACACTCCAGGACACATTGGCTACCTCCTTTCAAGAAAGCTGGCCCCTTGGGTAACACTGTTTACAAGAAATTAAAAGCTCTGTTTCAGAACCTTGAGTGCTGCTCCTCGTATGGAGTCCACTTGGATGAGCCATCTGAGGCAGAGTCTCCAGACTCTCCCTTTGGGCACACGAGCCATTGCAGGCCAACCCATTGCTTCTAACATCAAGCTTTAGGGAGGTCATTTGAACAGTGAAGGAAGTGAGTGTGGATTCCTTACCAGCTCACCTGGGGCTTCTTGGTTTGGCTCATTCACGTCGGTGTGTACTAGACTGTATGTACCTCCTTCCTTTCCCTCATAAACACAATTCATGAGCTGATTTAGAAGTTGGGAACTGTTGCGTGTGCCCACAATGTGTGTCTCGTGTCTACACACTGTATCCTCCACTGTTTCCACAAATGGCACCATCAGCTTGGACACAGTGGCCATATTGGAACATATGATATAGGGGATTGTACAATCTGTCAAGAGACTCCCTTACCTGGCTGGGACCTGGCCTACTGAAAAGAATCATGGCTTAAAGCAGAACCTTGAGCCCTCACAGGCTGCTTTCCCTGGGCCTTAATTGTGGTAAGTGGCTATTGGCACTCAGGAATATAAAGCTGCTTTAACATTAAAAAAAAAACCTCCAAAGCCAAAAAAATAAAGGAACTCACCTCATTAACAGATTAGAGGAGAAAAGTAATATAACTATGAGGAAAATGTATGCAGAAAAAGCATTTGTTAGAATTCAACATCCATCAAATGATTTAAAACCTTTTACAAATGAGAACTAAGAAAGGTATTGAAATTCATGGTATCTATAAAAACCTACAGCAATTAATGTCCTTAAAATCAGGAATAAGACAAGAGTACTTGTCATCACTGCTTTTATCTAACATTATACAAAGGTTCTGTACAGTAAGCCAAGAAATAAAAGGAATAAGGATTGAAAAGCAAAAACTAGCTCTAGTTGGTTTGGTTCAGTGGCTAGAGCATCGGCCTGCAGACTGAAGGGTCCCATGTTCGATTCTAGTGAAGGGCACATGCCCAGGTTGCGGGCTCGATCCCCAGTAGAGGGTGTGTAGGAGGCAGCCAATCAATGATTCTCTCCCATCATTGATGTTTCTATCTCTCTCTCCCTCTCCCTTCCTCTCTGAAATAAATAATAATATTAAAAAAGAAAAGCAAAAACCAAAGCTTTTATTTGCAGATGAGTGTGATGTTGTCAGTTCTAGCAAGCACAGTAAGTCAAAAAAATGAAAGAAATGGAGGATTAGAGAGGAAATGCTACTTGCAAAAGATTATCTATATTAAAAAATTCTAGGCCTTGGCCAGGTAGCTCAGTTGGTTAGAACATCGTCCTGATACGCCAAGATTTGGGTTTCAATCTCCAGTTAGGGCACATATAAGAAGCAACCCATAAATTCTTCAATAAGTGGAACAACAAATCAATGTTTCTCTCTCTCCCAAATTCAATAAAAATTTTAAAAATTCCAAAGGAATTCCTAAATAAAATAATAGTATAATAAATGTTAGCACAAGTTGCTGGATACAAACACTGATTGCAGCAGAGAGTAACAAATAGATATAAATTTATTTTGTAATCCCTCAGTCTTTTCTTTTATAATCCAATGAGCTACATAATAATTCTTTGGGATGTTTGTTATCTGGACAGGGAGGGGAAGAGAATTTTCCACTTTAGGGCAAAGGAATTTGCCTGTAAGAAGCAGGATAAAATAAAGCTTCTCAAAAATGAGCATCCTGTTATCTCATTGTTGGTAAAAAAACAAATGAAAACACGAAGATTTAAATAAAATAGTTCCTTTAGTGTTGCACTAGTATATTGTCCCAGTCTGAGTTCCTATTCCCTATAGTTCTAAAGAAGGTGGTCCCTGGATGCCAGCACTCAGGAATGAGCAATGAGAAAACCTGCTTTTTCCCCAGCAGCTGCTGGTCTTTAGAATAAAACTGACTCTTTCACAAATAATATGAAGCTTTATTTGACAAATGAACGGGAAATCCATCTTAACAAGATGTCTACTGCAAGCCCTGCACCATGTTAGAGGCATCCTTTCCTTCAATTTTCACAACATGCCTGTGCAATGCATACTCTTAGTTATCCTTGCTTCACTGCTTGGAAAATGGAAGCTCAGAGGCCAGAGTAATCTTTTCAAGTTCACACAACCAGGAAGAAAGGGAGCCAGGAAGTACAAAGCGCCTGCTTTTCTGACCATATACTTCCTCCCTGTGTGGAGTTTGCCTTCTAAGTGCAGAGAGACAATCAGATCATCTACTCCAATGTCCTCGTTTTACAGATATGAACACACTGAGGCCCAGAGGGCAGGGGGGTTTGTTCAAAGTCACCTGCATAACCAGAGACAGAGCAAGGTGGGAACAGGTGACACTCCCAATCACACAGAAATCAATCACATGTTGGGAGAAGCTGGAGAACACTACTATGGGAATTTAGGGAAAAGATGATCATTTTGAGCCAGAAGGCAGTGGTGGTTGAGCTGAACGTTTAAAGTAAAAGAGGGTGTGCATTCACAGTGAAGAAGAGCATTTTAGACTTAAGCAAAGTAGCAAACCTAAACCACAGTCAGGCGGGTGGGGCATTAAAGAGCTGCTGCTAGGCCCTCACCAAGACTCAGCAGGAAACATGTGGTTCCTGTCCCTCATGACCTGCGTTGTGCCCTTGAGAGGCGCTGACAATGGTGGCCTGAAGCCAGGAAGGCTCTTGGGGGAAAACTCCAAAAATCTCTACCCACAACAGTTTTGTAAACATTACTCAATTCAACATCCTAGGCCACCAGGGAGAGGCCAAGTCTGCTGTCTAGGCCATTTAAAAGCTGGTTAATGGCTGTGAAGAATGAACCTTATTTTAAGTCTAATAAGATGTAACTAGTTATTGTTTGTGTTGAATCAGACAAATAAACATGTCCAAAAAAATCCACCTGTGAAATTCAATTGCACAGCTCAACCCAGATTGTGGTGGAGAGGCCACTCCCCCACAATCCCTCCCACCCTCAGGCTAATGCTAAGTGAATTAAGTTAGACATAAAAGGCCACATGATGTATGATACTATTTATGTGACACATCTAGAATAGATAAATCTGTGGAGACAGAATGGAAATTAGGGATTGCCAGAAGTGGGGATAGGGAAGTGTGGGAGTGACCGTTAATGGTTATGGGGTTTTCTTTTTGGGATGATGAAATGTTCTGGAATTAGTGGTGTGGTATAAGTACACAGCCACCATCTCCTTCTGTCCCAATGTGCTGTACCTGGCCTGAAGGCTTCTGATTCCTTTCTTTGTTGTTCCCTGTGGAAAGCCATTGGCAGTGACATCCAATGGCTGCTCAGGAACTGCACTCCAGCTGATGGCTGTGAAAAGATAAGATTCTAGAGTTAAAACTGTTCAGTTTTCTATAAACCCCAGAAGTGTTTTGATAAAAATATTTCCCTGGCCCTAACTGGTTTGGCTCAGTGGATAGAGCGTCGGCCTGCGGACTCAAGGGTTCCAGGTTCGATTCTGGTCAAGGGCATGTACCTTGGTTGCGGGCATATCCCCAGTGGGGAGTGTGCAGGAGGCAGCTGATCGATGTTTCTAACTCTCTATCCCTCTCCCTTCCTCTCTGTAAAAATTCAATAAAAATATATTAAAAAAATATTTCCCTGCCTCTGCAGACCCATTGAGAGTTAGATATAATGGCAGACATAATGACTGTCACTCTGACCCTTGGCTTCCAGAGTACAAGTGGTTCATAATTCCTCCTCCTCCTCCTCCTCTTCCTCCTCCTCCTCCTCCTCATCATCATCATAACAACTATCACTGAGCATTTATTATATGCTAAACACACAGTAAATGAATGAAACAGAATTTCTCATTTAATCCTAACAACCCCGATAAATAAATTATATTCTTATCTAAAGATGAAGAAATTGAGGCTGAAAGAGGATAAGTAGGTTTCCCAGGGTCACATAGAGCAGGAACCTGACAGTGTGGGTGTCTCCAAAGTCCACACGACTGACCATGTGCATGGTAAACAGCCTCCCAGGCCGAGAGGATGCAGCCCACCCCACGCCACTCCATGGACTGGGGACAAGTTACTCCAGGGCAAGTGGAACCTGGATCCCTTACCTGCTCCAGAAGGAACAAGTCGCCCTGGACAGTCAGCCCTTTTTGCCTGCACCGCACAGCGGCTCTGCTCAAACAGTAAGTCCGACTGCTGTATTTTTACTTCTTGGACTCCAAAGCCTTTGGGTAAAGAGGAGACATTCTGACACCTAAACGTGAGGGAAAATGCACTGTTGAGGCATACTCCTTGAGAAAGAGAGTATCTAGGACTGTGGACCACATCACTACCCCTGTGTCTCGATGGCGGGCAAAGGCCATTTGACACAGGCCTTCCCCTGGCCATGGCTTCATCCTGCCCTCAGTTACTACAGCATTCACTGGCTTTAGCTGCCTTCTTTAGGGAGACCACACTGAGTGGTCATCCTTTGTCATTTACCTTTTTAAAAATTAACACTAATGTTTGAAGGTTTTTAAAAAATTTAACAGCAATATACGTACAGTGTAGAAAAATTAGAAAATACAATAATCACAAAGAAAAAACTACCA